TTTGTCTCCAACAAGTCACTGCATATATATATATATATATATATATATATATATATATATAAATAAATATATATATCATACATAAATAGTATTTCATAAAATCTTTTGTTTCACACCATCAAGCTTAATGATGAGCTCTGGAAATGAATGAAAAACTTATTGGGCAGCAACTTGTGGGAGGCAAAGTATGTATCAGAAATGCTCTATATTAAACATCACTGATTTCAAACCATAATAGACAAATTAAGAGGAATGTAGGGAAAAAAAACAACTGCAGTTAAGTTATTTTTATAACTAAAAAATGGCACAAGGTTGGGTAGTGTGACTATATGCTACTAAAATAAGGAAAACAACACTGATGGTCTAAATCCAAAGTAATGTTTGTCTGTCCGTATTTAAAAAAACCGCTAAACTTTATGTATTATTATGAATCTTTTTCAATAGTCATAGAGTATTTCTCATTATTTAGTAAGCAAATGTTTCCAGTTTTAAGCAAAGGCTATTATGATTTAAAATATTAAATGTTTTCACATTTTGAAATATACCAAATTCTACTTCTGAGTATTTTTTATTTCTTATTCACAGGAGAGTAATAAAATGGTAAATAATTTGGGGTCCAATACAAAACCCAACAACTCCCCAAACTTTGTTTTTGATCAATAAACAGTTTTACCATTATTAAATACATCATTCTTTGTATCATCTCCATATTAATTATACAGTGTAGACAGCATTAAATTTTAAGAATTTTCATTGAAAATTAAATTTAGCAGTGGTATTAATCAAAGGATATTGTGAAACCTAAATCTATCACACATGAAAATCACCTGCATGTAAAATGGTGCATTTTTCTCATACGGTGACAGCATAAAAACATGGCTTATTACTCTGTAACAACCATGTTAACATAATTCTAAAGTTTATATATATTTTGTTTCATACCTTGACACTGCTGTACATCTGTTCTCTATTTGCATTATTTGTCTAATTTTTTGTTGATGTAAAATAATAACTATTCTTGTTTAATAAGCTTATCACTAATCAGTGCTATTAATACTATCAATGTAAATCTCTGATATTATTTGATATTCTATATTAAGTTTTTTAAGGTTTTCAAATTGAAAAGTACCTAAACATCCTGCAAGACAAACACAGTCATTTCAGAGTTGTCAGTTTAAATATACATGCATGTGTGTGTGTCGTTAACTAACCACCAAGTACCCAGTGCTTGGAAAGTACAGGTAATGACTAAAGAAACTTCTTTGGTGTTTCATATCTGTGGGAAAGATACATCAGTGAGAGTAAAATGACTGGTGTATTCTGTTTGGCAAGATATTTGTAAACCAATCTTTGTTCTTTTTTCACAAATTTCATTCGGTCTCTCTAGCCTTCTTTGCGAGTTCTTCAGATAAAAATGTGAGTAATCTGATTTCAAATCTAGAAAATGAATCACACATTGGTTTTTTCTTTCTTAAATCTGGTCTTTCTTAGCCTCATTTTCTTTTGTGACCTGACTCTGGTGAATCAATTTTCGTTTGAAAAATATGCTTTGAATAATTGTATTTATAAAGGGACCTTCAGAAAAGGAATGTGACAATTTAAAAAATATTAACAAAAACCTCAAATACCAGCACAGCTCCTTAGAATGATACTTAGCAGATAATTTTTCACTTCTATAACACTGAAAGGGAATAAATTTAGACATGATAAACATTTATGCTATTTATGGTGTGTGTGTGTGTATATTGTACACACACACACACACACACACACACTTTTGTAACTTTTATTCAAAGAAAGCCATGATGCTCAAGGTACACATAATGGTTCTCTTGAAACACTTGTTTACTTCAAACAATTAAAGTTCATTGTAACTCGAACATAACAGTCACGGTGATATCCATATTTCTGTGAATACACTGAAGGGGTAAATTCAAATGCTTCTTCAATCCTATGAGGGGGGAGTAAATTGGTTGTGAAAGTAATTTTTTTCAGTCTCTCTTATCTTCTTTGCAGGTCCTTTACTTCGGATAAATATGTGAACGAGTCTGATTTTAAATCCAAAAAATGAATCAAACATACCTTTTTTTCTTTCTTGAATTTGGTATTTCTTGGACCCATTTTATTTTCTTATGTGGCATCAGTGAATAGTCTTTTGAAAACATGCATGGAAAACTGTGGAATATGATGACTTAAGACAAAAATAAAAATTTAGATTGGAAATCATTGAACAAAATTGTTCATATAAAATATTATATTGAAAAATAAAAAACAAAAGAAATATATATGAATAATGTTAATAACATTAATAACAAATTCAGGAATAATTACTGACCATGTATTAACCAAAAACACACAACACAGATGTACAGCAGTGTCCAGGTGTAAAACTAAAGGGAATATAATAGATAACTTTTAAATTATGTTAACATTATGTTTAAGAGCATTATTAAGCTATACTTTTATGCTTTAATTGTAAAAAAAAAACAAGAGGGAATCCGCAATAGCCACAGCTTAATTAGATCTGAAATCGTTCAAGAGATGGAGCTATGAGCTAAAAGTCTGAACTTGAAAAAAAACTCGGAGCCATTCTATGAGCCACTATGCTGAGGCAAAAAATATGCCATTTTACATGCAGGCACTGTTGATATTTGATAGATCCAAGTTTCAGAACGTCCTTTCTTACAGTTTAATATTTTCATACCTGCCGAGTAGAGTAAATATGGAGATAAAAACTATTTGGAATCTAGGTTATTCTAAAAGCTTTGAAATGATCCCAAGTAATGATAACATTATTTAATATGGCAAAACTTCAGTCCCACCTCTAATTCTAAAACTGGAATACAGCGAGAGGGAAGTGTAAAATTTCATGTGCTCATATATATTGCACTACACACAAAGTATTGAATGTTAATACAGATTTTCTTCTGTGAATAATGAATCAGAAAATTCAAAGAAGTAGACTTAGTGGGTGAATGCATGGTGACTATCCTAGCCCATAGCCTAAAAGTATTATACTTAAATATTAGAGTATACATTTAAACCATAGGGTGATTAGTTTCTTTCAATTTAATTGATTGACCAATCACAGTGAAAATTTATTTTTCATTATCAACTTGGTTGTGTTAACTACTTCCGATCACTGCTTTCTTTTTCATATTGTTCCAATACTGTCCTTTTTGTTATACACACTGCTACAGTGTTCCAATACTGTCCTTTTTGTTATACACACTGCTACAGTTACCTCATTTACATTCACTTAGATGTTGATAAGTCACACCAAATTTATTTCTAAACTGATTGCTTTTTTTTTTAGAGTAGTGACCTGTTTGTATAGTTAGTATTTTTTATTTGAAAAATGCTGTAGATTTACACAGTGAAGACTTTAGTGGTCACTATTAATATAATACAAACTAACGTAATTAATTTCGAAAAGGATTTTCTATTTCAAATGTTTGTTTCCCCACCAAAAACCAAGGCCAATCATTAAGAACATATTATCAATGAAAGAGAATTGATTTCTTAGAAAGATCATAATGTTAAAGAAATACCTCAGATTATTGAACAAGTAGAAAACAGAAAAACAAAATCATAAACAATTACACCAAATTCAACTGGTCCAAAAATAAAAACAGAATATCTGGATTGATCAAATGCTTAAGTTGGGGAAACTTTATTGCTATTTTCAAAACCCTGAAAATTTGACTTTCTTATATGACACTAAAACATACATTCACAAAAAAATGCTTTGATTCTATTCAAATGAAATGACGAAGTATTAAAGGAACTTGTTAATGGATCTCAAAACAAACATTTTCTTCTGTACCGAGATAACTTTTCTCAAGCAAATACAATGACATAGAGAATGAATCTTTTTTAATAAATGAAGTTAAATCAGAATTATGTCAATGACAAAATACACTCACAATGAAAAAGAAGAAAAAAACTAAAAAAAAAATAGTTACACAAATGAGGCCTGGAAAAAGCCTTTTTACCTATAACAAAAGTACACTTTTCTGGATGTATACACACTCACTGACAATAAAATACACATGATACAGACTTGGCTTAAGACTGGTTTTTTGAAGCCTGCCTTCGTAAGAGGATGTATATTTTCTCTTTGATCCAATCTTTGTTATAAGGAGCATATGTATTTGTGGACTTCTGGTACCTAAAAATAAACATACATAAAACGTATAAAATATTTTTGTACTTCCTTATCTGGTAGATTTTAATCAGTCTTTATCATGTAATCATGAATGGTCCCTCTTGTTTTCTTAATCAGACTTTAACATGTAATCATGAATGTTCCCTCTTGTTTTCTTAATCAGACTTTAACATGTTATCATGAATGTTCCCTCTTGTTTTCTTAATCAGACTTTAACATGTAATCATGAATGTTCATTCTTGTTTTCTTAATCAGACTTTAACATGTAATCATGAATGTTCCTCTTGTTTTCTTAATCAGACTTTAACATGTAATCATGAATGTTCCCTCTTGTTTTGTTTTTTCTGGGATGATTTTCAATATTGTGAATGATATAAGGTTTGTATTAAATCTGCGTTCATCAACAGTTAAAACATCAGCTCCTCAAATGAGTGGATTAGTTATTTTTAGCCTGCGATACTACTGTTTCAACTGGCAACTTGTTTCTGAAATAACCTATGAAAACATATACAAGGAATAAATGAATGGTTATTCATTAACTTTTAACACTGAAAAATAGTTTGCAAACTAGATAGAGGAAGAGCTGACTTTCTTTAATATTATATTTCTGGTGGTCAAAAATAATTATTTAAAAAAATATATTTTACCTAATTTTGAAAACTATATATAAGTAAATAGTTTTTTTCTCATTTTTGCTGTTAATAAGTGTTCTTTGTTGCTAATTATTTAAGCATAAATCTATAAAATATTTAACAAAATTGTTTTGAAAAGCATATTAATTTTCTATTGAAGAAACTTCAAATATTTATACTTAACCATATTTTCACCATACATTTCTCGACCTGATGCAGATGTAAATATCGTTATAGGTAAGATCTCTTAAATCAAAAATTATAGGTAAGATTTTTTCTTAAATGTAATTTTCTGGAACGAGTATTAAACTATTCTCTCACAAATGTATGCTTAAAAAAAAATTTAGAGTTCAAACATTAATACTCAATTTTAGCATAGTTAAATGAAGTTTTGAATTTCATAGTTTTGGAGAGAAAATTATTACATTAAGAAACAAAAAAAAAATGCTGACCATACATTACCAATAAAATCATGATCAAAGCAAGCTGCCTAAATACATCACAACTACAAATAAGATATGGTAATTTAAATACAGCTTTCTATTGTTGCACAGAAAGTATTTTGATACAAGAAATGAGACTCATGTTAATCTTCAAAAAATCAGCATTACATTATAACTACACTGGTTCAGTTTCAAAAATATGCAGTCATATGCACATGCATTATATCAATACAATATTATGAAGGGTATGTACAATTACAGGTGTATTAGCCCTGTTCTTACAGATTTCATTTTTGCTTTCAACAAAATATATAAACACAATATACAGAATCAGCTTATTATACACTAGTTTCCTGAGGATGAGACCGCCAATGTCTTTATGAAACACTGTACAATATTGTTTCTACTATTACATAATCTATATAAACCTAACAAATGATACTTACACTAGGCAACTGAGATCTTGCAGCTGATCAATGAAATCAAACAACTGACTGATATCATAAGTGATAGATGGAGTGTTTGGGTTTTGTCGCTTCAGGTGTTCCTCATACATGTGGCAGACACCTTAAAGTAATAGCAATATTTCATGGGTAAATATATATTTTATACTATCTATTTTAGTTTTTGAAGGAAAAAAAGATATTATATGTACAAATGTAGGTCACTTTAAAATCCAGAAGCAGGTATTTATTACAAAACATTTGCTAATGACTAATTTTTAAAATGAGAATTTGAAAAGAGTAAACATTAAATAGTTACTGGAAAGAGCCGAGTAACATAATTATGTTATAGAGCTAGCTAAGAAGTTGCAAAAATAAGACATTCTATTAAAAATTTAGATGACTCAGAACACTACTGTATGCTAAATGTTGTTGTCACTGTGTAACATCGTTCCAAACCAGATCATTTGGACCGGACATCTGTTTATTGATGCATATGAGAAGTGTTAGAAATGGTGTCGATGTATAATAAATATTTTGAGGATTTATGACAACAGTCAAACAAACACAATATCTCGCTACAATGACGGTAAAGATTGATTAGCAAATGTTGTGTATTATAAATATTTTGAGGATTTATGACAACAGTCAAACAAACACAATATCTCGCTACAATGACGGTAAAGACTGACTAGCAAATGTTGCAATTTACTCTTAAGATCATTACAAGTGAACTAAATAGGATTTAAAAATTTATCAAAAAATGAAAATAAAAACAATTTTAGAGCTGCAGCAATAACATAATGGTTAGTCAGATGCTGAAAAAACATTTTTTTAAATGTGTATAGGCATATGGAATTAAATCATGAACATCATGGAGACTTCCACACATTTACTTGTTAGTTATCAAAGGAAACTTTTGGGCATGTGATATGTTAAGACATCCACTACTAGAAGTACTGTTAAATTAACAGGTTTTTAAAGGCAAATTATATATCACCCTGCTTAAGGATGTTAAACGTGATTTGTTTTACCTGCAAAATATTGGAAAGCCTTATAGTACTAGTAGACCTGATAATTAGTCAGTTTAGAGATGGTATTTTGTTTTTTTTTCTCAAGCAAATGTATTTTGGTAACATAGTATAATAATTCAGTATTTAAAGGCCAACAATCAAGAAGTGGCTATTCACTCAAGTTATTATAACTGAATCTAGTCTTGATAGCTTCATAATGATCCAAACAGATGAACTACAAGTAAACAAAAGATTTTATTATTACAACAATTTTTAACAGAATATGGAAACAACCAAGTTACAGCAAAACACAGAGAAAAACATCCATTAGAATAGTAGTCTGTGAGCCATTTAAAAAAAAAATTGGTAAATTATTACTGAACTGATGAATAAAAATCATACTTCACACCAAACACACAGCTATGACATTACACACTTGAGTTTCCTTGCCATGTGTTTGGGTGAATATGCACATGCACCACAAGAACTTCTTGTAGCCAACTCATGTAGGGCAGTGAGCAAACGATGTTTTAATTTTAAATGTGGTTTACAATGCAAAAAATATCAGGGACTCCTGCATTACAACTTGAATTAAGAAAACAGAAAATTTAGTACTAATGACATACAGAAACCTTTATCTGGAAATGCAGATATCAGTCTGTGTAATATGACAATAGGATAATTTCAATAATATGCACAAGTCAGGTAATGGTTTAGGGGAAAATTTTTCTTACCTTCCATGCATTCATTAACTGATTCATAGTCAGAGAATGTTCTAGTTTCTGGTTTCCCTGGTTGAACCAACAAGATTGTGTGTGACTAAAAATAATATAAATGTCAGTTAGGAAAACCTGTAATACACATTCAGTGCAAAACCTGAATATTTACAAACTTCTGTTTGTACATAAAAGAGGGTTTTATAATACGTTAATATCACAAAAAAAAAAAAAAAAAATTTTGGGACTGAAGAGTAACTTAATAATAGTAGCAAAACTACTGAAGCAGGCCACTTTTTTCAGTAGCTTTATCATAGTAAGACACTTTTAATTAATAGCAGCTTTTTACTTGAACAATCTGATTCTTCCAGCAGAAGCATAAGTGAACTGTTTTGATACAATTTCTTACCACAGAATGTGTATATGCTGTATAGAATTCTGTTCACTTTACCCTCTCAAGATAGATTAATGACCTGCACAAAACTTGGACTATTTCCTGTGGCGGTGTTCACTGTGTGAAGACTACTATCACAGCAAATGCTACTATTTATAAATATAATCACAGTTTTATAAAAAGACACAATATTTAATTGTAAATACTTCTAAAAAACAAGCAGTTTACCAATCAACATTAAATCTTCACACAAACTCAATTATAATTTATAAGCATTCCCTTTTTTCATAATGAACTTGTTTGCTAAAAATGAGTTTCTGTTCACTGCCAACTTATCTTGGGAGAATAATACAAATCTGTTTGTCAGCTGGCTAACTGACGACAGAGGTTAGCTATGATCGAACATACTCTTAAACTGGGCATTTCAAATTAATATTTGATTAATTGATTAATACAGTTTTTTTCAAACTATGGCATATACAAGCAAAGAAAAAAAAAGTTGGCAGCAGTAGCCTTCACTCTAGTTAGCAGCTCAAAATTAGTGACAGTAGCAGAAAGCCTTAGTACTTTTGCCATAACAAAGACAATGTAACAGTTTGGTAACAATAGGAATTGAACCCGAAGCCTTCTAATCATGAGCCCCTGTGCTCAAATCACCAAAGCTGAAGAAACTTGAAGTAAAAAAAAAAACTTATACGACTAAAATTGGTCAGAGCACAGACAATCCATCATGTACATTTGTTATTATCAATAAACAATCATTATGCTATGGTGAAGAAACTAACAAATGAACACAGCAGCAATATTTTCAATTAATTTGGATAGTTCGAATAATTGAAAACAGTGATAATCAAAAACCCTAATTTTGATTAATTGATTAGTTTACGTGAAACTAATCGATGTAATCATTACTCATGGGTAACTGATTATATCACCCAGCTCTGTTACTAGTAGTCAAGCTAACAGAATTTTAGGATTTATTTAAACACACTCATTACATATTAAAAATATGTAATTATCTCTTCTATACAAATCACTTGTAATACTGAGGTTGGTCACCTTACATAACAAATGATACTTACTGACATATTAAAGGTTCAGAGGAGGGATACTAGGAGGATTCTTGGAATGGAAAAGTTATCTTTTTTAGAATTTCTTTAACTTATTTTCTCTTGATAAAAGAAGGATAAGAGGTGATTTTATCAAGAACTTACAAGATTATCTGGGGTATCAACAGATAAGCATCTGATTTCTTTGTGCTGTACTCTGAAGGCTGTAGAATGAGAGAACAGATGCTTAAGATTTGGAAAAGACAGACTATGATCTAGTTAAGGCAGTTTAATTTTTCTAACTAGGTGGCTAGCTTTTGGAATGAGTTAACATAGCAGTTGTAGAGACCGGCACCTCACAAGATTTTAAAAGTGGGTACATATAATTTTCTGAAAAATTGAGGGTGGTTTGATACTTCTTACTTTTTTTCTCAGAGGTGGATGTACAGGAACAGTCTTTAAGGATCAAATTGTCACTTCTTTTCAGTACTATTGTGTAATAAAAATTAAGTTACATGGGTGAGGTAGCAATTTCTAAGTATTTTCAGTTAGAGTTTTGTATATTTTTCCTTCCATCATTTAGTTCTGGTATATTTTTAGTTGTCTTAAAATTGCTAGATCACCTGCTTTCCAGTGTATGTCAAGCATTAAATAAGTAATTTTTATATTAAGAAATCAACACATTTCCTTAGGAGTGACATATAAATACTAAGTTCATGTATGATTATGTAAAATAACTGTTAAGTTTTTAGTAACATATGTAACCACATGGTCTGATATAAAGTTAAGTGAGACTAGCAAGGGCCGTTAGACCAAGTAATACACAAGATATATTTGTTAATTATTAAAAGTAATAGTTTATAGCATTTATTCACTCAATTATTATTTGACTTGGAATTATTTTTGAGAAGTGTGTAATACTGTTCTTTCATGTAATCTTACAAATTAAATTTTGTTTTTTCCTAATTCATTACTATTCTTATTATAATGTGTGCTTTGATATACAAAGTTCCTGTTTTCTTCTCTGAAAATTTGTTTTTTGAGTTTATAATACTAGCCACTAGTTTACCAGTTATTAATGTTTGAAATATTTTAAGAGTCGTGTTTCAATTAATAAGTTTATAATTTATGCTCTTACCTTTATAATAATATGGTTGTTTGATATGTTGCACATGTACATGAATGACAAAAATGTTACTTTTAGTTGACTAAGATTTATGTATTTTTGGCCTAACTCAATTCAACTATTTGAGTACAATTATCACTAGTTGTTATGGAAGTTATTTTTCTGTGCTTTTTTTTAGTAATGCATTAACTGGCAAGTAACACCAAAATTAAGGTTTATTTCCTGCAAAAGAAACTCTTCAATTATAAAATTATAGGCCTGAAAATTAATATCTAACTTAAGGATCAGCCAAGGTCTAGTAAATTTGATATTAGTTCAAATTCAAATGAATCTGCTTTTGATCAATACATGTCACTTATCCAATCAAAAATGTGACCCTTATGTGTACCATACCACATTACCAAGCACTTCAACTTAAATGGCATCAGAAAGTTTGAGTTAAGAAAACAACTGTTCCATTATAACAGTAATAATAAACCATTTATTTAACTGTGATTTAGGCCTTAAAATATCAGCTAAAACTTACAAAACATATTTCTGTATCTTTAAATATATTTTTGTGACACATGTACCCAAAGGCTTCATTTAGAATAACGAATGCATTTTGCTTTTATTCCCCTCACTACGGGATGTATATCACCATGTAGGCATGTATCCAAACATGTGTACCAGAAGGATTCCTGGTAAGTCATTTACTTTAAGCCTACAACTTGCATGAGAAGGGGCTTAAAGTTTTAAACTGCTTTCCTCAGAGCACATTATGGTGGATGAATTCAACTTTAGGCTTTGAAAATTGTGGATCTTTCAGTTTGGTGCCCACCAACAATACAGAAGCATTAACGTGGAACTCAATGCCAACTGCTTGACTCTTATCTTTGTGAATTTATATGGAAAATAGAAAGAAAGATGAAGATTTATTCACAAAAAATATCATATACTGTTTTATTATTAATTATTTTATTACATTACTGGTGTTATTTTTAAAATGATCTGTTTGTAGGCACCAAATGGAAAAGACCTAAAATTGTTAGTGGGTTAGATAGCTTTCATATGAGTAGTGAAATGAAAAGGTTAGAAACAAAAACTTGAATATTAGGGGTACTATATTAAGTTTTATGAGCTTAAATGGAGATTTGATTTTTTTTTTTTTGGTTAAGATTAATAAATTTATAGAATAGTTTCCTCATAGAGCTGTAAAGGGCTATATTTAAGTTTTCAAAAAATCAATAGAAGTGAACGATGATGGGTTTAGGTCAATGAGCCAATTGTCTTTGAAAGTTAAATTTATTATAAGAGATTTTTCATTAAAAGAAAATCCAATGTGACAAAGTTTGTTTTATGGTTATCTGCCACCATCTCTAATTTTGAGCTGATGACCAGAGGGAAGGTAACTGGTCAGTTTTAACAATGAATAATACAACTGACCATCACGTTATATCACCACATGGCTAAAAAGATTGAGTATGTTCAGCATTGCGTTTCAATCTTGTGACCCACAGATTGCACGGCAGGCACTCTAATCACCAGGTCAACTATTAAATTTAAAGTACACCAGTTCTAAGAGTTCAGGCTTTGAATTAGGTAAGTTAAAATAAACTGATAAGAACATGTCCAAAGCCTGAATTCTGGGCCTGATCCACAACCTAAAAATCTGAGTAGTCCTTACATTACTGCTATTAGTAATATTAATGTAAAAGTCATGTGCAAATAGCTGAGAAAACTGTTGTTCTTTCAAAACATTATGGGATAGGTTATGGGATGATCCTTTGCAGTTTAAAATTTTCTTTTTGGGGGGGGGGTAGTTGGGTAATAGTTCCATTTTATAGATAAACGTCAATAATATACTTGAGAATAGAGGTTGTTGAATCTGTTTTTAATTGTTTAACTACTTCAGCAGTTTTACACAGGTGTATTTAATACTGACTTTAACAAAATCTGTTGCTAGTGCCAGTAGAAATAATAATTAACAGTAGTCTACTAGTACCACTATGCAATTAATCTATTCTAAGGCTACAGCCTACTAAATAACTTTTAATTAACTTCAATAAACACTAAAACTATAAGTTCCTACCTAATTTTATTCAAAATATTAACAACCATTAATATGTTACTGTTGGTTACTGCTGAACTAGTAGTGAATAGTACTACAAACACTAAGCTTGTAATTTTTATTATACTTTATAATTGTAATTAACACTAATACTAGGCTTAAGTAAAATCACATTAACACCACTTAAATATTAATAACAGCCACTAAGAAAACATAACACTAACAGTACCACAATAATTAACTTAGTTAGTTAGTAATAACAGTAACACTACAGTACAGAGTACAGTGACTGGCACATTGATACTCGATAGGGAAATTTACAATGAATCAGTCAAACTCATAAAACTCACCATTCTAAACAATATATAAATAAAAAATATCAGTACTGCGTAAACCTCAAAATTTAAAATAAAACTGTCAATACTTCTAACCACAAATATACATTTATAATCTCGTTTTCCCACTTTTTCTTCTCTTTTCTAAAGCAGATTCTTCACGCTATATGCAATATGAAAGGTGGCGCTAATGAGTTCAAACATCACGCGTGTGTAGTTGAAAAAAACAAGAAAAAAAAAGACTAATAATTGTTGCATTCACTAATATATTGTTATATAATATGTGGAGAGCTAAAGTTTAGTTGAAAATAATATATACTGAGCATCTTTCTTTTATAATAGCCAGAGAGTACAACTTCAGGAAGATCCAAAAGCAAAAAACATGTGACAAGGAAAAATATCTATATAAAGTTGGTCTCAGAACAATAAGACCACTTCCGATGCGATTGCTGAGCGCCAGACGACGATGTCTTCTTTTGATTTCAATTAGCTCACTAAAAAACGTGAAAAACTCATGAAGAATTGTAAATTTTTTAAGAAATGAGGTTTTTTAAAAACATCCCAAACGTGAGGATTTTAGTGCGATCTCAATGTTCACATAATTTCATAACATGACCAACCCAGACTAGCGATTTTGGAATAATTTTAAAGAACGATATAGGTATTACTATAACAGTTAGATAGAAATTAAAGAACACATATCAAAATAAACTAAGAGGCCTAGTTTTTGTGATAAAACTACGTAAACTGATGATTTTTTCATATCTCTCTTAATTTTTCCATTTTGGACTCCAAACCAGAGGCATGTAACATAGCATGCAGATCTATCTTTTGTCTCCCACAAGCAATTGCCTAAGAGGCTTTTCGTTCAATACAAAAATTCGTCATTCGCGCTAGACGATGAGAGACAAACGTTGTTTTCTTTTTAAGTTTTCAAATCCTAGTGCAGTGTTTCCCAACCTTTTTCGCCGCAGCGTCCCCTTCAGCAAACAATGAGCGCTCATGCCTCCCTTCTAACAAATTTTTAGACAATTAAAATATTTTACTAAAATGAAAATTGTAAGGCAATAATAGTCAATTACAAATTTTAAAATATTTTATTTCAGCAAAAATAGCCACGTTATTGCACACATTCATTAGTGTTACATAGTTGCAAAGAGGAACAAAAGAAAATATATCATGGTAACACATATGAATAATGAATTAATTTTCAATGAATACCCTGAGCTTGATGCCCCTGTGCTTGCTACAAACACACCCACACAATGATTTTTCTCAAACATGTTGAAAGAAAATCCCTATTTCTTATGGTGTAATTTTAACAAATATAACTTTGAAAACCTCAAAACTTTTCTGCCCACCCCTCCCCATTGCTGTCCCCTCAAAGTTGATGCCCCTGTGCTTGCCGTAAACACACCCACACAATGATTTTTGCTCAAACGTGTTGAAAGAAACCCCCTATTTCTTATGGTGTAATTTTAACAAATATAACTTTGAAACCCTCAAACTTTTCTGTCCCCTCAAAGTTTACTGCCCTGAATTTTAAAAACGCCCACCGGTTGGGAAACACTATCCTAGTGGATTTATTTATAAAAAATATCTAATTTACATAGGAAGGGGATCTACATTGCACAGTAAGAACGACTAAAGAAAGCAGAAGATTTAAGAAACTATAAAACAGCATTATTTACAATAGGATGAAGATTTAAAGATATGAATTTTTCCTAACACGTTAGTTAAGGGAAAAGGTAAATGAATTTGAGTTATAGAGCCTTTGAAATATTAGTGCTCTGTAGGATAAGCAGGGCACGAAACAAACACACTTTAAATATATTCCAGAGAAGTTCTGTAGAAAGAACAAGAATACTTACAAGCTTAGCAATAAAAATTACTAAAGTGATTCGTGAGACAATAAAACAAAGTAGTCTGAATGAGTAATGAAGAAAAACTTTAATATAAGTTTAGCATAACAGCAAATGTACAACGTTTCGACAAGGTTTTGATAATAAAACCTTGTCGAAACGTTGTACATTTGCTGTTATGC